TCTGGCTGTGGCGGCCATTTGGGGAGTAAACCAGCAGATAGAAGACTTTTTTTGCCTCTCTGTAACTCCGTCTTTCAAATAAATAAATCTTTAAAAATATAAGGATAGGGCTGGCACTGTGGCGCAGTAGGTTAATGCCCTGGCCTGAAGCACTGGCATCCCATATAGATGCCAGTTCGAGTCCTGGCTGCTCCTCTTCAAATCCAGCTCCTTGCTATGGCCTGCAAAAGGAATGGACAGTGCAGCTCTGGCCACTGCAGCCGACTGGGGATGAACATTGGATGGAAGACCGACCTTTCTTCCTTCCTTCCTTCCTCCCTTCCTCCCTCCCTCCCTCCCTCTGTGTAACTCTTTCAAATAAATAAATAAATATTTAAAAAAAATAATGAATTTAACTGCTCAATAGCAGAGATAGGCAATCTTGGGCCATATATTTAAACTAACCTGACTTGCGAGCTAAGTCCCAAAACAAAGTACCATAATTTGTCCTGATGACTTTTTAAATACATACTGTATTGATTTTCTTTGTGGCAAAAAAGAATCATAAAATTTTAGAGCTGAGATGTGACTTAAAATCTCTAAATGAGTATCTTTCCATGTTAATCACAAAAATAATCCATTAGAATTTAAAGTGTGCCCTCAGGCTGGTAGGTTTATAACTCCACACTCCCTCCCCACTTCTTTATGACCTTCTACTTACAAAAATAGGAATGTGGTTTTTACAATTCAGAAAGACATTAAGTCAAAACCAGAAAAGAAGAGCCCAATTCAAGCTTCTTATAAGAACCCTGACATCCTGTGATGTCAAAACACCTATTCAGTCATCTACTAGTTAGTACAGAACCAGGAAGAGAGCTTTTGCCCTTGTGCTTTTCTCTTATGTCGCACCAAGGAAGGGTATGATCCTATGGAAAGTACACCCACTCCCTGACCCTTTTTCTTTGAGATACACCAACATTTAGGAATCCAGAGAAGAGAGGAGGTCAGCAAAGGAGACAGGAGTTTATAATCTAACTGGGGAGACAGAACAAATTAATAAGGAAGAAAATAGCTCCAAATAACATGGGTAATAAGGCTAACACAGTTTCAGAGTAGGGAGTAATCACTGTGGATTATGGGTGGGCCAGGATTTTATCACATCGAATGTGGCAGGGTTAAGTAGGATATACAAAGGCAGACAGGAGAAGGTAAGAAGTGACAACAAGGGCAGGGATGTACATGAAGGACAAGCTGGAGTGGTAAAGGAAAGGTTTTTAATGGGCTTTGCTAAAGGCCAGCCTAACAAGTTCCAGTGTCAGGAAGTTTTTAGTGATATTCTAGTCCAGTCACCATGGTATACTCAGAACCTTCAGCATTTTGTTAATCCATTTCTCCTGCATCATACAAACTCCTTACTCTTCCTGGCCTCTTTAGCAACCAAATCCTCCTTCAAGGCCAGGCCCATCCACACCTCCTCTGTGAAGCCTTGTCTGGTCACTCAGACTAACAATAATTTCTTCTGCTCTCCAAACAGTGATGCATCGTTATTCAATTAACACTAAAATATTACTCGAGATATTGTTTATCTTTTTATGTAGTATCTACATAGGTTGTGGCCGGTGCCGCAGTTCACTTGGCTAATCCTCCGCCTGTGGCACCGGCACCCCAGGTTTTAGTCCCGGTTGGGGCACCGGATTCTGTCCCGGTTGCTCCTCTTCCAGTCCAGCTCTCTACTGTGGCCCGGGAGTGCAGTGGAGGATGGCCCATGTGCTTGGGTCCTGTACCCTCATGGGAGACCAGGAAGAAGCACCTGGCTCCTGGCTTCGGAACGGCACAGCATGCCAGCCATAGCAGCCATTTAGGGGGTGAACCAGTGGAAGGAAGACCTTTCTCTCTGTCTAACTCTGCCTGTCAAAAAAAAAAAAAAAAAAAAAAAAAAAAGGTTGTAATCTACTAATAGAGACTATTTCTTTATCTAGTACAGTGCTTTCCAACTTGCAGGTGCTCAATAAACATCTGAAGACTGACTCAGAATTGGAGTTTCAGTAAGACAGACCCAGGGAAGTTCATGGTATGAAGTTTAAGCATACTATAATACTAGGTACCCTAGAAAATGAGCCTTGGAGTACCTATGGGTTGTGTTAAACAATACCACAGAAAAATCATTCTTCTGATTAGCTTTCTAAGTTTTAGTCATGCTAAGGAGTCTGACATTTCCCTTTTGAACAGAAGGAGATTTCTTAGGCTGAGAACTTTGAGAGTCAAATTTTAGTTGTTAGAATTTGATGATTACTTTAGTTCCATCACTAGCTTGCCCAAGGCTGCAGCCAATCACCAAGACTGATGAGTTGCATCATTTAAGTTTTTCTAGGTTGAGGGTCCTGTATTCCATCTCAAAAGGTAAATTAAAATTCTTTATCTGCCTGTTCACCAGCATCACTTCCCTAGTGTGCCTTCCAGTGTAGGTCAGAAACACTGAGATCTCTGAGTTCTTTCTCTCACCTGCTGATTCTCCTTTCCCATCCCTATTTGATATACAGAGTACGTTCTATATACTGACACAAGTCTGTGGATTTCTTTTTTTTTTTTTTTAGGATTTTATTTTATTTACTTGAGAGGTAGAAAAGTAGAGATAGAGAGAGAGGTCTTCCATCCGCTGGTTCACTCCCCAACTGACCGCAATGGCTGGAGCTGCGCCGATCCGAAGCCAGGAGCCAAGAGCTTCTTCCGAGTCTCCCACGTGGGTGCAAGGGCCCAAGGACTTGGGCCATCTTCTACTACTATCCCAGGCCACAGCAGAGAGCTGGACCAAAGAGGAACAACCGGGACTAGAACCTGGTGCCCGTATGGGATGCCGGCGCCACAGGCGGAGGATTAACCGAGTGCGCCATGGCGCCGGCCAAGTCGGTGGATTTCTTTGACACACTTTAAAAATCTCAACTAAGGCTTCCTTTAAGCCTTCAAGTCTATTGATTTCTTATTCTGGGATTTCTCTAATTCATTTACCTACCTATAAAATGTGTATGGTGCAAAATTCCTTCGGTATATTTTGCATGTTGGTTTGGAAATAGAACTGGTCCACCCAGGACCACAGTAAGTACTATAAAACTGTCTGGAGCATTCTCTTTGAGCTGTTGAAGACCTGACATCCTGATGGGACAGGAAAGATATCTATAGTTTTGCTGAGGTCTATAGACAGTATAATGATTAAATGCCTTATGAAAAACTATTTTCAAAAATCAAAGTGGGGGCAACTGCTTGCAATGCTGACATTCACAATGGAACACCGGTTCAAGTCTGGTTGCTTTGCTACCAGCTAAAGCATCTGGGACAGCAGCATATGACAGTCTAAGTACTTGGGCACCTGCCATCCATTTGGAAGACCAGGATGGAGTTCTTGGCTTCTGGCTTTAGCCTGGCTCATTCCCAGCTGTTGAAGGTGTTTGGGGAGTGAATCACAAGATGGAATATCTCTCTGTCTCTTCCTTTTTTTCTGTATCCCAGAGATCTTCAAAAGCTCAGGTGGTTACTCACATGCTTAAGATTCTTGTTGCTGTTGTTAAAGACAGAAAATAATTTCCCCCAAATCTTACAAAGTGATTTGTCATACAAGTATTTGTTCCAAGTCTAAATGCTTTAAAACCACATGATGGCCGGTGCCACAGCTCACTAGGCTAATCCTCCGCCTGCAGCACCGGCACCCCGGGCTTCTAGTCCCGGTCAGGGCGCCAGATTCTTTCCCGGTTGCTCCTCTTCCAGTCCAGTTCTCTGCTGTGGCCCGGGAAGGCAGTGGAGGATGGCCCAAGTGCTTGGGCCCTGCACCCCATGGGAGACCAGGAGGAAGCACCTGGCTCCTGGCTTCGGATCAGCACAGCACGCTGGCCATAGCGGCCATTTGGGGAGTGAACCAATGGAAGGAAGACCTTTTTCTGTCTCTCTCTAACTCTGCCTGTCAAAAAACAAACAAACACATGACAATCTATTATTGACATGTGTTTCGGGGGAAACCTAAAAACATACACCCCTTCTAAATTTGCACATTATCACCAATTACTCTCCTAAGCAACCTGCTTCTAAAATTCAGTGATTTCAGAACCAATCAATAGCATCTCTAGTTTTCCATGATTCTCAAAGATTCTGCAGCACTACACTGGATAAAGAATCTGAGTCATTTTTACTTTTCAGAAGTGCTAGTTTGTATCTAATAGCCAAAGGGGAAAACCTATTGCAAAAAAAAAACAAAAACAAAACCCTCTAAATCAGTAAATTTAATTAGGATTAAATGAGCTGATTAAGTTGAAATATTTTTAAATCATATAAACACAAATATTTATATAAATGTATCCACAATAGTTTCACCCCACTAGAAATTAGTAGCATTCTATACTTTTTAATGCATTTAACTTGAGAATTTACTTCATATTTTTCTTTTGATTCCTTAAAATATATAGATAAACATATATTACTTAATCTTGAAACATCTGTAAGAAAGTCATTAATGATTTCAGGAAATATATCTTAATTATGTATCGGTAGCATTCAAAACACACAGGACGGCAAATGCTGTAGCACAAACAACTTAAAAAAGCTTAACTGGGTATATCAGCAATAAATCCTTTCCCTGCCTAAAAGATAATGAGGTGAGAAATTCCCTTCTAATTTCACAAAGGAGACTCAAGTCTGTTGTCAATGAACCCTATCCTAACTACCCTATTTGTCATTTTTCAATTGCACCGCCTTTCCAAATCCCCCTTCCTATCCTCTCCTGACACATATTAAAATGTGGCTCCACAAGGGTAGGAGTTTTTGTTTTGCTCTTTGATATATCCCACAAATGCAACAAATGATAGGTGCTCAGTAAATAATTCCTGAATGATTGAGTATATATAACAGATATGAGCAACAAGCATATTAGTATGCCATTTAAAGAGAACCATTCTCCAGTTCAGAAAGGAATATTCCTGAATAACGGTATAAACATCCCACCATTTCAGATTACTCAGCTCACTTCAAGACCCTACCTGCCTGAGTGCGTTCCTATGGCCACCACTGTGCCACTTGGATGAAAATCTGCACAGTGTCCTGGTTCCTAGAAGAGAGACAGACAGCTGTTGGGGAGTACATAAGAAAGTCTCCCTAGATCTATGGTGACAGTGGCAAAAACATTTGAAAATAATTCATTTCATATAAACATGGAATTCTAATCAACTTTATCATAGCCAATGAGAAATACATGGGTATGAGAGAAAAAGAATTTTAGAGCTTGGAGGGGATATGCTGGCAGAATGGTGAGAGAAAAGGACCAGCAGCTTGTAGCCAGGGAGGGGTACGAAAACAACAAAACACACTTGTGTATTTCTTTTAGAGTCTTCAAAGAAATTATATACACCTTTTGTGCCAGAAAAGGTGGATATCTAACTGGGTTAGGGAGAAAATATAGTGAGACCATTCAAAAGGAATAGAGTCTGTTAGTGAGCAGCATTTACTGAAACCAACTGCACCACCACATTTCCACAATCATGTATGTTCCATAGACATGTGAAATCTTTATGATTTTTACTACTGAAACTGACAGAAGAATTCATTTTTTTTACCCTGCTAACTTGCTTCCTAAAAGTGGGTTCATGTTACACTTCGAGATGAAACACTGCCCTCTTATTCCCGTCCCCTCTGAATGCAATGCTTAGTCCTTCTGCCTCTGCTATCCCAACTGCCAATGTGAAGCACTTCCATGGGGAGATTTTCAATCACATCTTGCTTCACTCACATCTACGAGCCTGGTCCATTCCAGCTTGTGTTCCACTGAATTCCACATGCACACCTGCCTGTCCTGAGCACATGTCAAGAGCAAGTCTTTGAAGGGATGTGTGGCAAGACCCCAGAGCTCATCTGTATGACCCTGAAAATGAAAGGCACTCATTGTTATAAAAACCAAAGTGTGTCATCAAAAACATCCAGTTAATAGCTGACATTGGCTTACCTGCACTTCTATTTGGAAGCCATCGTTAAATGTTCCCCGCAAAATAAAGTTTCGTGATGTACCTACTAAAAACTGATCTGCCTTCCCTTCTGCTACGGCTCTGATTGTGCCATACTGATCAGGGACCTAGGAAAAATAAATGTATGAAGTTACCATATATACACTAACATGCATTAATTATTACCTGAAGACTACATATTCAACTGGAAGCTACTGTGTGGCAATAAATGACAGAATTCCAGATTTGATGACAGAATTCCAAATTTGAAGACAATATGGTAATCCTATACTAATAGCAACAACATGTTTAGAAAATTTTATTTTATTAGAAAGAAATTATATTGTGTTATATTAACATTCTTTGCTTCAGTTAATTTTACATTTATATGATTTCAGAAGTCAAGAGGTTAGAAACAGCAAAAAAAAAAAAAAAAAAAGAATACATTTGATCACATGAAGAATGCAGTCTTGTTTTTGCTAATTAACATTATTTATTGGCGCTAGCGCCGAGGCACAGGTTAATCTTCTGCCTGTGGCAACAGCATCTCATATGGGCACCGGTTCTAGTACTGGCTGCTCCTCTTCTGATCCAGCTCTCTGCTATTGCCTGGGAAGGCAAGGGAAGATGGGCTCCTGCACCCGCATGGGAGACCAGGAGGAAGCACCTGGCTCCTGGCTTCAGATTGGTGCAGCTCCGGCCGTTGCGGCCATCTAGGGAGTGAACCAGTGGAGGGAAGACCTGTCTGTCTCTTCCTCTCACTATAACTCTACCTCTCAAATAAATAAATATTAAAAAACCCACATTATTTATTTTTAAGATTTATTTATTTGTTTGAGAGGTAGAGTAATAGAGGGACAGATGGAGAGAAAGGTCTTCCATCCACTGGTTTACTCCCTAAATGGCCACAATGGCTGGAGCTGGGCCAATCTGAAGCCAGGAGATTCTTCCAGGTCTCCCATGTGGGTGCAAGGGCCCAAACACTTGGGTCATCTTCTATTGCTTTCCCAGGCCATAGTAGAGAGCTGGGTCAGAAGAGCAGTAGCAGGGAGGGACCTGAACTGGCACCCATATGGGATTGCCAGCACTGCAGGTGGAGGCTTTACCTGTTACCCTACAGCACCAGTCTCGTAATTAATATTATTTTGAATAAGTCATTTAGTCTTTTTCTGTAAGATGGCACGGCAATAAATGTCCTAGCTACTCTTGATTGTTATAAGGGTTAAAACATAAAAATAACACGTGAAATTTCTTTGTGAACTGAAAAACAGTAGCTACTGTATTACTGTAGAACTGTAGCTACAAGTTCTGCATCCTTGGATTCAATCAACCACGAAAAAAAAATTGTACCTCTACTGAATACATAAACTTTTTCCTTTTCCACTATACCATACACAATACAGAAAAACAACTATTTACACAGCAATCACATTGTAGTAATAAGTAATAGGGAGCTGATTTAACATGTAAGAGAGGAGGTGTGTGCGTTTTAGTATACAGATACTAGGGTCATGTTATATAAGGGACTTGAGAGTCTGGGGAATTTGGTATCCTGGGACCCTGGAACTAATCCTCTAGGAATGCCAAGAGAAAACTGTATCGTACACATAACTGTCATTGGGATGATTGGAAATCAACTTCAGATCGTATCATAAAGGGCAGGCTCAATCCCCTACTTTCTTTACTCCCTAAAATAAAGTCTTATCTACTTAAAAAAAAAAGTCATTAAGAGCACTCCATGGAACATCAATTTGAATGTATTAGATATGGTACATTCTTGGGGTCGGCGCTGTGCAGTGCCAGCATCCCATATGGGCGCCATATGGGATGGTCCTGGCTGAGCCACTTCCGATCCAGCTCTCTGCCGGGAAAGCACTAGAAGATGGCCCAAGTCCTTGGGCTCCTGCAGTGGAGTGGGAGACCCAGAAGAAGCTCCTGGCTTTGGACTGGCACAGCTCCAGCCACTGCGGCCAACTGGGGAGTGAACCAGCGGATGGAAGACTTCTCTCTCTCTCTGTCTCTCCTTCTCTCTCTGAGTTTCAAATAAATAAATACATCTTTAATAGATACAGTACATTCTTAGTGAATGCTACATTAATGCCATAATTATTCCAAAGAATGAATCTCAAACAATGTAATTCTCCTTTACGAAGTGGGATCCAAAACACTAAGCATTAAATGAAAACCTGTATTATAAATGGCAAAAGAAAGAGTAAACAAGATTGGGTAGCTTTTTGATTACAAAGGGCTATCAGTTACCTGTGAAAAAAATAAATGATAAAGTGGCGGGGCTGGCGCTGTGGTGCAGCGGGTTAACACCCTGGCCTGAAGCACCGGCATCCCATATGGGCGCAGGTTCGAGACCTGGCTTTCCACTTCCAATCCAGCTCTCTGCTATAGCCTGGAAAGCAGCAGGAGATGGCCCAAGTCCTTGGGCTCCTGCACTTAAGTGGGAGACCTGGAAGAAGCTCCTAGCTCCTGGCTTTGGATCGGCGTAGCTCCGGCAGTTGCAGCCAATTGGGGAGTGAATCAGTGGATGGAAAACCTTTCTCTCTCTGCCTCTCCTCTCTTTGTGTAACTCTTTCAAATAAATAAGTAAATCTTTAAAAAAAAAATAAACAAAGTGGCATTTCAACTATGCATTTAAGGTTATGATAAAGCAACTTTTTTACTATCTGTCTTGTTGGAAATAAAAATCCAAAGGCAGTTCTCTCAGGATTCTCTTCTTCAGAGATGTGTTTAGAAAGCATATAATGTGTAGAAAAGCACTGAGAACACATTCAAAAATTAAATCACCCAAAAAAAAGAAGCAACATTAAACTCAGTGAGATTTGCTCTTGCTTTAATAATCAATCACTGGTCTAAAATATTCTTTTAATCACTTTACTTTCTGAAGCATCAATTCAACTAGCAAATTTTCACTGTGTACACATCTTGCTCAGGTTTAATAGTTATACTTGGTCTATGCCATGTAGCAGGTGCACACATACACACACACACAGAGCTAATTAACAATCATCATTAAGGTCACTCTTTAAAATATTATTTTCAAAATAAAACAAAGAAAATAGGGCCGGCGCCGTAGCTCACTAGGCTAATCCTCCGCCTTGCGGCGCCGGCACATCGGGTTCTAGTCCCGGTCGGGGCTCTGGATTCTGTCCCGGTTGCCCCTCTTCCAGGCCAGCTCTCTGCTGTGGCCAGGGAGTGCAGTGGAGGATGGCCCAAGTGCTTGGGCCCTGCACCCCATGGGAGACCAGGATAAGTACCTGGCTCCTGCCATCGGATCAGCGCGGTGCGCCAGCCGCAGCGCGCCGGCCGCGGTGGCCATTGGAGGGTGAACCAACGGCAAAGGAAGACCTTCCTCTCTGTCTCTCTCTCTCGCTGTCCACTCTGCTTGTCAAAAAAAAAAATAAAATAAAAAAATAAAATAAAATTATTTTCAAACTTTAAAGTTAAACTGCTGATTTTATATGCTTTGGGCTTGGACAGAGTATTCAATGAACATGCTGAATAATTTTGGACCACTAAAAATATCTCATAAATAAACAATAAGCAAGTTAATCACTCTATCCAGCCTTTATTCTGTTTGATCTTTTATTTTTTCAAATTATTATTATTATTTTTTAATTTGACAGGTAGAGTTAGATAGTGAGAGAGAGAGAGAAAGGTCTTCCTTCTGCTGGTTCACTCCCCAAATGGCAGCCATGGCCAGTGCTGCGCCTATCTGAAGCCAGCAGCCAGGTGCTTCTTCCTGGTCTCCCATGCGGGTGCAGGACCCAAGCACTTGGGCCATCCTCCACTGCCCTCCTGGGCCACAGCAGAGAGCTGGCCTGGAAGAGGAGCAACTGGGACTAGAACCTAGTGCCCATATGGGATGCCGGTGCTGCAAGCACAGGATTAACCAAGTGAGCCAGGGTGCCAGCCCCTCAAATTATTTTTTTTAAATGAATGGTCTTTTTTTTCTTAAATAAGGTTATCCTAAAGGCAATTAAAAACTCTGTTCCATTGGAATGGAATGAAATTCTAAGAATGTACAGCAATTTTCAAAAAAAGTATAAGTTATCTTAATGTGAGACAAAATATATGAATTGAGAGGTTTAACATTTTTATGATTTGCTTTCTTTCCATCCTTACCTCTATTTCTCTTTCAGGATTCAGATCATGATCCCATAGAATTATTTTTCTGTCTTTCCCTCCTCCGGTTAATATCATCCCATTTCTCATCTGACAAAGTGTGAACACACTGCCATCATGAGCTTTGATTTGCTTGCTGATCTGATATACACCTAATACGATAAGGGAAAAATGAAAACATTAGTGATAAAACTTTAAAATAAGATTTATTTATTTGAAAAGCGGAGTTACAAAAAAAGAAAAGAGTTACAGACAGAGGAAGAGGCAGAGATTTTCAATCCACTAGTTCACTTCCCAAATGGCTACAACAGCCAGGGCTGGGCCAGGCCAAAGCCCGGAGCCATGAACTTCATCTGGGTCTCCCACGTAGGTACAGGGGCCCAAGCACTTGGGTCATCTTTCACTGCTTTCCCAGGTGCATTAGCAGAGAGCCATATAGAAAGTGAAGCAGCTGGGACTTAAAGTGGCACCCATATAGGATGCTGGCAGTGCAAGCAGCAGCTTGACCCGCTACAACACAGTGCCAGCCCCTAGTGATAAATTTTTATAAGACTTCAGTGAATCAGCAGATGGAAGATTTTTCTCTCTCTCCAACTCTGCCTTTCAAATAAACAAATCTTTAAAAAAATAAAAAAGGACAAAAAGAATCCTACCTCAATGTTCCTTTAACTTTCTTGTTAAGGTAACAGTGATACTATTCAATGTTTAATAACCATTGTTCACCTGGAGGTCAACAGCGCCAAGAATGACCTGTTTTATTTGCAGATGTGGGGATCTGGGGAAGGTACTGAGGCAAAGGAGGACCCTGGAAGCTCTGAGTAGAGAAGAATTTCAGTCTTTTACTAACCAGTCCAACTATACCAATGTGATGCTTAAATGACAACCCAGCTTTCTTAACTGCCTATACCATTTTACATAGGGTGGACAATGTGGGCACATAAAAAATAATTTTAAATACAACTCATGTAAAATAAGTGATACTTTGCCCTGTGCCCCCAAAAAATCAGATTCTCTTTCTTAAGGGTAAGGATACGATTATAGAATCAAAACCCTTTAGTATTCACAGAGTCTTACCCAGAGAAGCTCTTTAGCTAGTCAGTAAGGTGGTATATCAAGATGGAAACTTGGGAAGATGATACCTTGCAAAATTAGCTACTAGGTTCAAACTGGGAAGGTAGACCTTTGTTTAAATATGGCCAAAGTAGGCAAATAAATAAAAACCTGATACCTTGGAAAAATTAGAAACTTACAAGTTTAATAGTTCTTTCTCTAAAATTGTTTATCAGCCAATGAATGGATAAACAAAATGTGGCATGTCCAGAAATGGAATAGCAGTCAGCCCCCAAAACAATGTATGGTGACATGCTACAATACAGATGAACCCTGGAAACACTATGAAAGAAGGGAGTCAAAAACCCCACATCTTGTATGACTCCCTTTGTATGAAACGTCCACAACAGAAAAATCCAGAGACCAAAAGTGGTTCCTTAGGGACTGAGGGGAAGGAGGAATAGGGACTACAGTTGGGTACGGGGTTTCCTCTGAGGGTAATGAAAATGTTCTGGAATTATATCATGGTGATGGTTGTTGACACTGAATATACTCAAACTCAGAATTATACACTTCAAAAGGGTAAATCTTATGATATATAACATCTCCATATAGCTGTTACTGAGATTATTTTCTTTTTTCATCTTTTTTTTACTTTTTTCATCTTTATATTTGAACCGCCACTAGATTTATTTATTTTAAAGAGTTAGAGAGAGAGAGAGGTCTTCCATCCACTGGTTCACCCAACTGGCGGATCCGAAGCCAGGAGCTTCTTCCGGTCTCCCACGCAGGTGCAGAGGCCCAAGGACTTGGGCCATCTTCTACTGTTTTCCCAGGCCACAGCAGAGAACTCGATGGGAAGTGGAGCAGCTGGGACTTGAACCAGCGCCCATATGGCATACTGGTGCTTCAGGCCAGGGCGTTAACCCGCTGCGCCACAGTGCTGGCCCCTAGATTTTTAAAATTAACTACAATTTATAGGGCTTTAAAAATCAACAGCTGACTCTGAAAACTATCTCTGTGGGAGAGTATGAGTGGTTCACAGATGGGTGTAACTGGCAGGTAGCAAAGAAAGGGTTTGCTTGATTTAGCAGAGCTGGGAGCAGAACTCCAACAAACTTGCTATTGAAGCATGAGCCTCCAGTCACACTGACACTCATCATCTGAAAGTATATTTTAAGCTCTGAATGGCACAGTTGTGTTTGGTGGGATATCCAACGACTTATCACTGCTCTGACTGCTTTCATGCCGATCATGAGAGAGAGGACATCTGAGAGATGTGAATTTTTTGACACTACCGTTGCCTTTATTTGGGTATTACAAAAAAAGCAAATTTTAGTTTTATTTCTGTATGCATGGTCAGATTAACAATAGTCTGAAAATATTATTTGTAAATTATAAAAGCAGGAATGCAGTTTCTAAATTTACCATCAGAATGTGGAAAATGAAATAAAGTTTTTCTGTTCTTTATTCAGGCTCTTATTTCTTTTCTTTTCTTTTTCTTTTTTTTGACAGGCAGAGTGGACAGTGAGAGAGAGAGACAGAGAGAAAGGTCTTCCTTTTGCTGTTGGTTCACTCTCCAATGGCCACCGCAGCCAGTGTGCTGCGGCGGGCGCACCGCGCCGATCCGAAGCCAGGAGCCAAGTGCTTCTCCTGGTCTCCCATGCGGTGTAGGGCCCAAGCACTTGGGCCATCCTCCACTGCACTCCCTGGCCACAGCAGAGAGCTGGCCTGGAAGGGGGGCAACCGGGACAGATTCTGGCGCCCCGACCGGGATTAGAACCTGGTGTGCCGGCGCCGCTAGGTGGAGGATTAGCATATTGAGCCGCAGCGCCAGCACAGGCTCTTATTTCTAAGCATAACAAAAGACTCCCCCAGAGTGATAGAATGTTAGAAAACAATTTTCTCATGGGTCTCTATTTCTGATATTTCAGTTTAAACCAACAGTATTTGAAATAGTTGCCAAGAAAAATAATTATCTTCGAATTAAAAAACCTACTTTATCTCCAGGTTTAATAATATAGCTAATTCTATCTAAGCTTAATCAGAAATCTTTCCTCTCCCCTTTCTTCCTTACCTCTAACAGAAATAGTTTCCATAAAGATGAAGTTAACCTTGCCAGCCAAATAAAGATGTCTGGAGAGCTTTCTGTGCCTGTTTAACTATGTGAGAGCACTTCAAAAAGTTCATGGAACAAGAGTTAGAAGATTTAATGGGGCCAGCACTGGGGCATAGAAGGCTGGGCCTCCATCTACTACGCTGGCACCCTATATGGGTGCTGGTTCAAGTCTTGGCTGTTCCACTTCTGATGTGCCTGGAAAGGCAGAGGAAAATGGTCCAAACCTTTGTGTCCCTTCACACATGTGGGAGACCAGGAAGAGGGTCCTGGCTCCTAGCTTTGGCCTGGCCCAGCCCTGGCCATTGTGGCCATTTGGGGAGTAAACCAATGAATGAAGGCTCTCGATATCTCTCTCTCTGTATCTCTGCCTTTCAAATATGAATACAAAAATCTTAAAAAAAAAAAAAAAAAGATAGGTTTGCATTGGTGTAAAAAGTTTTAAAGTCCATATACATGAGGGTGTCTTCAAAGGGGTAACAGGAAATGCTTTTTATGGAGAAAAAAAAAAGGTATTGATTAAAAAAAAATTTTGCACCAAAATAAGCTTTTATTTCCACTGTTCCATGAACTTTTTGAAGTTCCCTCACAGACTCAAATAGCAGGAAGATTTTAAATTTTATGTATTTTCTTAGCATTTGTGCAAATGTGCCCTTGATGAATATTTAAAGGGCAGATAAAATGGTGCTATTTCTTAGTTCCTAAGACAAAATTTAACAAATACTGAAACATTTTAATGCTGCTGTATATACTCTCAACATTGCTCCCACTCTTAAATATTATGAATTATGCCATATAATGATAATCTGAAACTTCACATATGTAGGAAATAAAATGGGTTGGAAGCATGAAAAAAATATATAGATGGCTGATGAGGCATAGAATATAGTTTTGGTTTATTTCCTATTTACTACAGTTAAAAGGATTACCTATAAATTATACTTTTGCCATCCAAAATTGTCCTTTTATGAGCCATGATACAAAGTGTACACAAATTTTGGCTGGTAATCTACCTGAGGTACAAAAATGTCACACTTGGGAACATGCAAACTGAATCAATCTATTGAAATTTGGGAGCAGGATTTTTAATATAGAAACTCCAGGCATTTGGTTTGGTCTAGGTTTCCACATTTCTTTCACTGCACTCACCAAATCCTTCCCAGCCATACTTATAGAATTGGAAACCCCAAATAAAAGAAAACAAAATTCTTGGCAACTTTCTCATAATAGTTTCAGTCAACAGGCCATTTTGTATATCCAGAACCTATGTTAGGAGATTGTTTCCTGTTTGTATATATACAGATTTTCTTGGTACAGAGGCTAAGCCACAAGCTTTTCTGACAAAAACAAAAATAAACACCTCTGAATCTCTCCCTGTCCCTTACCTGAACACACAACATTAAGATTAATGGAAGGGGTACATTTATTCACAAACTTGCCTCGCTGTTGGAGGATATGGCAACAATTTAAAAGTTGCTATTTTCATACACTACTCTTACTGGCATTTCTGGTACTGAACAAACGTGCCCAAGAAAAAATGAGAAATAAAGGGAGGGCATCGGCACAGTTAAGATGCTGCCTGGGATGCCCGCATCCCATACCAGAGTGCCTCATTTTGAGTTCTGGCTCTGCTTCCCATTCCAGCTTCCTGCACATGTGCACCCTGGGAGGCAGCAGGTGACAGCTCAAGTACTTGGGTCCTTGTCACCCATGTGGGAGACCCGGAATATGTTCCCAATTCCTGGGTTTGGCCTAGCCACAGCCCCAGCTGTTACAGAAATTCGGGGAATGATTTTCTTTCTTTAAAAAAATAAAAACATTACAGGTAGAGGTAGAGGTAGAGGTAGAGAGGTAGAGAGGTAGAGAGGTAGAGAGGTAGAGAGGTAGAGAGGTAGAGAGGTAGAGGTAGAGGTAGAGGTAGAGAGAGGAAAAAAACAAACAAAAAATCAGGGATAATTAAAATACTTTATCTAGCATACAACACCTAAAAAAACACAGTATCAAACCCAATCAATCATTGTAGGATAGACACGAACCCTTGGGGCCCAAGGGTGGAAAACCATGGTTTGGGTGTGGTTTGTCCTTAAAGCATACATGTGCTGGAAAGCTGGGCTTCAGTGTGGCGAAGTTGGGAGATGGGACCTTTGTGGGGACAGATTATTCCTCACATTCCCGAGGGTGTACTCTCTAAAAGGGTTACTTCTTTTGTACCCTGGTTAGTTCTCATGAGAGCATCGTGAGCCTGAGCTGAGCCTCACCTCTCTGCTTCCAGGACTGAGATGTGATTATCTGCTTCCTCCTGGACACTTTCATCGCCTTCCTCTATGATGTGACACAGATGAGAGGACCCTCAACCAGAACTGAGCTGATACGAGTACCATGCCCTCGAACCTCCAAAATAGTGAACTAAATAAAGCTCTTTCTTCAGAAGTTAAAAAAAATACACAATCATAAGACAACTATAATACTAAATTTAAATTCTGCATTTCAGTGAAATCAATACCACTCCAGTTTTATTTCTACACTGATATCCAAAGGTAAAAAAGTTATTTCCTTAATAAAATGCAAGACAAATGATTTTCAAACAGTACCAAGTGCTAGTCCTGAGAATGATTACTGGAGAAGACAGACACATAAATTGGGTCTTTCTCTCCAAGCAGGGGAACAGGGATTCCCTTATTCACGACTTAGAATGATTTCCATGGTCTGATGCAGGCACTCGAGAGAGAGAGAGAGAGCAGGAACCGTCAGATGTACAGGGAGCAGTGGATGAATAAGAGAAGTCAGCACATGCTATTCTGCCAATCCCCAGGGGAAAGGTCTCAGGACCCTCAGGCTGGTTCCCCATCATGTCCCTTCTCTCTCTTTGGTGGATTCTTAGGGACTGACTGCCCTATTAGTTCTATTTCTCTGGCTACCACCTATCATTTTTCTCTGTTCCTTGTTTACTGATTCTAAACCAAGGTCTCCAATTTTTTGCTCATAATTTTCTACTATGAAAGAAGTACATGATATTCTGGATATTCTTTCCAAGTTTTACTGTTGTTAAATGATATGGAAAAATGAGGTGGGAAAACGGTTATTTTCAACGTCCCTTCTCTAAGATTTACTAATTTATTTACTTGAAAGATAGAGCGACAGAGAGACACGCACAGAGATCTTCTATCTGCTGGTTCATACTCCAAATGTCTGCAAATGCCAGGTCTGGGCTAGACTGAAGCCAGGAGCCACAAACTCCATCCAGGTCTCCCACATGAATAGCAGGGCCCAAGCACTTGGGTCATCTTTCACTGCCTCCTAGGTGCACTAGCAGGAAGCTGAATCAGAAGTGGAGCAGTCGTGACTCAAACTGACACTCCAATATGGGTGCATCACAATCAGTAGCTTACTCCACTGCATCACAATGCTCTCCTACTTTTTCTCCCATCTACCATAGAAAGAGCAAAATGGACCTATATATTTGATTGCAAATCAAGCTTAAGAATAACATATGTCTGTATTTTTAAAAATTTTTATAGCTTTTATTTGATTATTTATATGAAAGGCAGAGTTACACAAAGAGAGAAGGAGAAACAGAGATTTTCCATCTGCTGGTTCATTCCCCAAATGGCTGCCAACAACCAGGAGAGGCCAGGCCACAGCTAAGAGCTTCATCTACATATCCCATGTGGGTGGCAGGGACCCAGGCACTTGAGCCATCTTCTGCTACTTTCTTAGCAAATTAGTAGGGAGCTGGTTCAGAAGTGGAGTAGCCAGGACTTGAACTTGTGCCCATATGGGATACCAGTGCTGCAGGCCATCGCTTTTTTAACTTGCTGTGTCACAGTGATGCCCCTTATTCTGTATTTCTAAGGAAAACTCATCTGAGGTACAGCTGAATTAATTCCAAAGCTACCACTAAAGCTAGGAAAAGGGGATGTAGTGAGAAAAATAAAGAGAAGGGGACTAACCTTACTTTACTGACCTTACTCATTTTTTTCTCCCCTATCCCATTTTTATCATTTGGTTGTGCATTTTGCCTTCAGAGAAATCCCAGCATCAGCCCAGGGGAGAGCAAACATCTATACTTTTTAAATTAACATTTACATATTATAACCTATACCAACTCTCTTCACTTTACATTAATGCCCTGGTGGGGTAAGTTTAGTGTAGTTAAATATATATTATATAAACATAATGAATAACTGGATAAATAATTTCAATTTTCTAAAAAAGATCATTGTAAAGAACCTTAAGAACAAAAGTTATGTTGGTGTGTCTCATATTGGGCATCTATTATTCTTTGTCTCCTGGTCTGGGCAAGAGATAGGACTGCAACAGCTCTGTGTGAGATTTATAAGGAAGCAGTTTACTAATATGAGAACACTGTACCTTTCGGTCCTTTCCCAGGTGTTGGCTCTACAGTAGTTTTGCTCCATATAAGCAGGACTCCACCCGAGTCTCCAGTAAGAACATCTCCATTGCCCAAGAATGCTAAACACTGCACAAATTTTGGTTTTTCATATTTCTATAAGAAAAAAATGAGAATTTTCAGTTTCTCCTATGAAGATTTTTGAAAATCACAGTTTTATGCAGCTAATGAAGCTCTAACATTTTGGATCCTTACCCCAAAAATTCCCTGTTTTCTTGTTAGTGAATTGCCACTCCAGGTCCAGAAAAAAATATGAGATTTACCACATGTTATTATGGTATTTGCATCTGTTGGGTGAAACTCCACAGCCAAAACAACTTCATTTGTTGTCTGTGAAAAGAGAAAAAAATTTAGATAAATATACACCCATATCTCTACCAAGTACGAATTACAGCTACTGACAAATCAAGGTGAAAAAATTTTAAGAAATGTTTTTTCTTCCAAGATTTATTTTCCTGAAAAACTGTAGTTAACATATTTTTAGAACAAAAATTTCAATTTTATATCCCTGTACTACTTTAACACCTTTTATATTATTTTTAAAAAGGATTTATTTATTTTAAAGGCAGAGTTACAGAGGGAGGAGGCGGGAGGGAGATCCACCATCTGCTGGTTCATTCCCCAAATGGCTGTAGGAGCCAGGGGTAGGCCAGCCCGAAGCCAAGAGCTTCTTCCAGGTCTCTCACACTGATGGCAGGGGTCCAAGCAGTTGTACCATCTTCTGTTGCTTACTCAGGCATGTTAGCAGGGAGCTGGATAGGAAGAAGAACAGCTTGAACTGGCACGCATATGGAATGATGGCATTGCAGCAGCTTGATCCCCTATACTATTTTTGAAAACTTTACACTTGGGGCCAATGTATTGTAGAGTTGGTTAAGCTACTGCCTATGTTGTTAGTATCCCACATGAGTGCTAGTGGGAGTCTTGGCTGCTATGCTGCCAAATGAGTTCCCTGCCAATACACCTGTAAAGGCAATGGAAGACAGTCCAAGAACTTGGGCCCCTGCCACTCATGTCAGAGATCCAGATGAAGTTTCTGTCTTCTGGCTATGGCTTGGATTAGTCCTGGCTGTGGCCATGTGGGGATTGAACCACAAGATGAAGATCCTCCTTCTCTAACTTCCATTCAAATGAATAAATAAATCTTAAAAAACAAAAAAACAAAAAAACAAATAAAAAAAAGAGCTTTGCACTAGGAAGACATTTAAATGAGACACTTTAGATTATTTTAATTTCTTGCACATTCAGGAAAAGTACGCTAAAACCATCAAATGCAAACAGTGTACATTGTTTAAAAGACACTGTCATTTTTTAAAAAAGATTTATTTATTTACTTGAAAGTCAGAGTTACACAGAGAGAGGAGAGGCAGACAGAGAGAGAGAGGTCTTCCATTTGCTGGTTCACTCCCCAATCAGCCACAACGGCTGGAGCTGCAGCGATCTGAAGCCAGGAGCCAGGAGCTTCTTCCTGGTCTCCCACATGGGTGAAGTCCAAGGACTCAGACCATCTTCCACTGTTTTTCCAGGCCATAACAGAGAGCTGGATCGGAAGTGGAGCATCCAGGACTAGAACCGGCCCCCATATGAGATGCCAGCACTGTAGGCGGTGGCTTCACCCCCTATGCCACAGCGCTGGCCTGACACTGTCATTTTGATATAAAAAAGAAACAATCTTATCTCTTTTTACTATCATTGATTATTCATTTATTTACCAATATATTACTATTAAGATATTAATCCCCTAGGCTGAAGCCTTAAAAAAGTCGATTAGGGGGCCAGTGTTGTGGCACAGCAGGTAAAGCCATCACCTGAGATGTTGGAATCCAATATGGGTGCACTTACCTCACCAACAAAGATACATGCAGACTGAAAGTGAAAGGATGGAAAAAGATATTCTGTACTAACGGAAAGCAAAAACGAGCAAGTGTAGCCATCCTAACATCAGAAAAAGTAGATTTTTACACAAAAACTATTTAAAAGAGATATAGAAGGGCATTATGCAATGATTAAGGGATTGATTCAACAGGAAGATGTGACTAAAATAAATGTATATACACCCAAATAGAGGGCACCTGGTTAATTAAAAGAAATATTAATGGATCTAAAGAGACATATGCTCCAATACAATAGTAATGGGGGACTTCAACACACCACTTTCATCAATGGACAGATCAGCTAGACAGAAAACCAACAAAGAAACAACAGAATTAATCAACATTATGGACCAAATGGACCTAACTGATATCTACAGAACCTTTCATCCCACAGTTGGAGAATACACATTCTTTTTCAGTGCATGGAACTTCCTCTAGGATTGACTGCATCCTAGGCAACAAAGCAAGCCTCAGTGAATTAAAAAAAAAAAAAAAACAACTGAAATCATTACCATGCATCTTTTCTGATCACAATAGGATGAAGCTGGAAATTAACAATTCAAGAATTTCTAGAACATATGCAAATACATGGAGATTGAACAACATGCTCCTGAATATACAGTGGGTCACAGAAGAAATGAAGAGAAATCAAATAATTTCTGGAAATGAATGAAGATGACAATAAAATGTATCAAAACTCATGGGATACCACAATTGGTGCCTACATCAAGAAATTGGAAAGGCACCAAATAAATGAACTGTCAATGCATCTCAAGGACCCAGAAAAAGAACAAATCAAATCCCAAATTAGTGGGAGGAAAGAAATAATTAAAATTAAAAAAAGATAGATAAAATCAAAACCAAAAAATTACAAAACAGCGAAACAAAGAGCTGTTTTTTTGAAAAAACAAAACTGACACATCATTGGCCCAATTAACCAAACAAAGGAGGGAGAAGACCCAAATTAATAAAATCACAGGACATGTAACAACAAATAACAACCAAAATAAAAAGAATCAACAGGAATTACAAAGAGCTGTATGCCAACAAGTTGGGAAACCTAGAAGAAATGGATAGATTCCTGGACACATACAACCTACCAAAATTGAACCATGAAAACACAGAAAGCCTAAACAGACCAATAATCAAGATGGAGATTGAATCAGTAATAAAGATCCTCCCAACAAAGAAAAGCCCAGGACCAGATGGCTTCACTGCTGAATTCTACCAGACATTTAAAGAAGAACTAATTCCAATTCTTCTCAAGAATTGGAAGGGAGGGAACCCTTCCAAACTCCTATGAAGCCTTTATTAGCTTAATTGCTAAACCAGAAAAAGACACAACGGAGAAAGAGAACTATATAACAATATACCTGAAGAACACAGATGCAAAAATTCTCAACAAATCAGTAAATGTAATGCATTTGGCCAGTGGGCTTACTGTGCAACCTAAAAAAACGCAATACAGCTCCAAATACCTGCCAAAAAAAGTCATGTATTCTAAATGATGATATGTAATTAAAATATTTTAAAATTTACCTTTATTTCTGCTCCTTTTGATTTTTTCTGCCAGTCCCAAACAGTAAGCATATGCTCATTGGAGTCATCAATAACGCATAAATGAACACCTGAATCCTAAAGAAAAGTCAATTAAATGCATTTAAAAATTCCTGAAATAACCTCACTTTCCATGAAATACATACTGTTACAACAGTAAGATCACTGAATAACCTTTAAACTCATTGGTTCTTTGAAACATAACAAATGTCCTATTTAATAAAACTGAATTTTCATCAGAACACATGTTTCTTCTTCTTTTTTTTTTAAAGGTTTATTTATTTATTTGAAAGGCAGAGTTACGGAGAGAGGGGGAGAGACAGAAGAGAGTGACAGAGAGAGAGAGATATCTGCCATCCTATGGTTCACTCCCCAAGTATTTGCAGCAGCTGGGGCTGGGCTAGGCTGAAGTCGGGAGCCAGAAGCTGCATCCAGCACCCCATCCAGTGCCCAAACCAGCACCCATCTGGGATGCCAGTGTTGTAGGTGACTGCTTGAACCACTGTGCTAAAATGCCAGCCCCAAGAGTCTTTTAAAATCTATTTTCTATATTTAATTTTTCCACTAGGTTGATTTCTACTTACCATCAGGCATTTCTCTTATTTAAAGATAGCAAATAATTCATTTTGAGGTTATTCTAAGTCCTTTCGGTACCATGTTTGCCTCCTATTGTACATATGGCATTTTCTCAAGGTAGGCAGGAAAAAAAGCACATCATTTCATAATTTTGCTTCTGATCAAAGTTTCATAGTAGATGGAATAAGCTAAAACTAATGTCTATTTTTTTTAAGATTTATTTATTTGAGAGTCGGAGTTACACACAGATAGAAGGAGAGGCACAGAGAGAGGTCTTCCATCCGCTGGTTCACTCTTCAATTGGCTGCAATGGCCGGCTCCTGAAGCCAGGAGCCAGGAGCCAGGAGCCACGAGCCAGGAACTTCTTCCAAGTCTCCCACGTGGATGCAGGGGCCCAAGGACTTGGGCCATCTTCCACTGCTTTCCCAGGCCACAGCAGAGAGCTAGATCAGAAGTGGAGCAGCCAGACTAGAACCTGCTACGCCACTGTGCCGGCCTCACTAATGTCTGTTTATAACAGTTTTCTGTGATACACTAGACTTGCGTTAACATGAATAAACAAAATAAATACATAATTAAACTTTGTGAAACCATTTTTTAAGTCCTTGGAGTATTTAACACCAGGAGTTTGACCATATTATGATTTATCCTCGTAACACATCAGAAAGATGAAACTAAATATTTTACACAAATGACAATGGCATGACTTAAGGATCCTCATTAATTTTTTAAAAAGATTTATTTATTTATTTGAAAGTCAGAGCCATTCAGAGAGGAGAGGAGAGGTAGAGGTAGAGGTAGAGGTAGAGGTAGAGGTAGAGGTAGAGAGAGAGAGAGAGGAAGAGAGAGAGGTGTCTCCTATTCAATGGTTCACTCCCCAATTGGCCCCAACAGCTGGAGCCATGCCGCTCCAAAGCCAGGATCCTTGAGCCTCCCCCGGGTCTCCCACACGTGTACAGGGGCCCAAGGACCTGGGCCATCCTCCACTGCCTTCCCAGGCCATAGCAGAAAGCCAGATTGGAAGTGGAGCAGCCAGGTCTCGAACTGGCGCCCACATGGGATGCCGGTGCCTCAGGTCAGGGTGTCAACCCACTGCGCCACCGCACCAGCCCCTGTGAAACCATTTTCATTCACATAACTTAAGTCTTTCAGTTTAAGAAATAGATATGAGGGGCTGGCACTGTGGTATAATGGACAAAGTCGCTACCTGAGAAGCTGGCATCCCATTTCGGGGCCAGCTTGAGTCCTGGCTGCTCCATTTCTGATGGAAGATTGCCCAAGTACTTGGGTTCTGGCCACCCACGTGGGAGACATGGTTGAAGCTCCTGGCTCCTGGCCCAGCCCGGGTCGTTATGGTCCTCTGAGGAGTGAACCAGCAGATGAAAGATCTCTCCCACCCAGCCCCCTTAACTCTTTCAAGTGAATAAATAAATCTTTAAAAATAAATAAATAAGAAACAGATATGGACAACTATTTTTCTCAAAGTATCTCTGATATATGCCTTATAATGTCTATGGAAACACTGTACTGAAGAGTCAGCAGTACCAAGGAAGGGTAAAGCTTATTATGCTTCCCTATGTTTCTCTTAGCATGTATTTGGAATGATTATCTGAAATGGAAAGAGGTGGAATATGAGCCAATTCAAGATATTAACAATGGTATCAGCAACGGATCAGTTCTCACTACAGAGATTTTTAGAAGGAAAAAAAGTAGTGAAAGTATTTTCTGTCTGTTCTCATATCCTTTTCTAAATATCCTTCTCCCAGTTCATGAGTAGTTGGACCACTGACATTCAGTGCCTACAAGTTAGTGAAGCTTCTAACTTTACCCAAATTTATCTTTCTGTACTAAAAGTGTCACTTCATGCATATCTCACAAAACTCCCATAATACAGAATATAGCTGCTGATGGGTAAGTACTAGTGAGATAATATTAATGCATAAGTATATTCTAAAGCAAAAATGAGGTCCAATAAAACCTAGCCACTTCCAGAATAAAGTATTATTTGGCCTAGCAGTTAAGATGCAGTTAGAAGGTGCACATCCCACATTGAAGTTACTGGGTTCAACCACTTGCACTGGATCTTGACTACTGCTTTCTGCTAATGCAGACACTGGCAAGTAGTTGTAATGGCTCAAGTAACTGGGTCCCTGTCACAAACACAGGACACCTGAATTGAGTTTCCAGTTACTGGCTCCGGGTTTTTGAAGAGTGAATCAAATGGGAGCTCTGTCTACTTGTCCGTCTCTCCAATAAGAAAGATATGGATACTACACTGTAAATCTCCTTAATATTTTATAAACATAATAAAATAAAAATAAATGCTTTAGTAAATAACATCTGGTCTTACTCTCCTCTCAGAATAAAGCCTCAGACTTAGATAAGACTGTCAAACATAGGGGAGGACATTCGGCACAGTGATTAAGCTGCTGCTTGGGACGTCTGCTTTCCATTTAAATTCTAGCTCTGATTCTGATTCTAGTTTCTTGCTAACTTGCAACTTGGTAGGCAGCAGGTGGTAGCTCAATTAGTTGGAACCCTGTCATCCACATGAGAGACCCTGAATGAATTCCTGTTCTTTGGCTTTGGCCTGGCCCAACCCCAGGTGTTGCAGGCATCTGGGGAGTGAACCAGCAGATATGAGATTTCTCTATGTGTTGTGTCATGTCTTTCAATCTTGCTGCCTATCAATTTTAATTTAAAATAGATTAAAAAAAGAGAGAGAGAGAAAGGTAGTGGGTATTTGGTACAGCAGTTAAGACACCTCTTGCGTGAGTTTTGAATCCTGACTCTATTTCCTATTTCAACTTCTTGTTAATGTGCATCCTAGAAGGCAGAAGGTGCTGACTCGACTCATGCAGGAAACCTGGATTGAGTTCCTGGTTGCTGGCTTCAGCCTGGTCCAGCCCTGACTGTTGCAAGTATTTAGGGAATGAACTGTTTCTCTACCTTTTAAACAAAATAAATAAAGAAAAAAAGTGACCAGACATAAAAGCCAATTTGTACAGAATGGGCCAAATTTTGTTTGTGAATTTTCTAAATAAAATAGATCTCTTCTATGATCTAAGCTGAAGCTAAAGCATATTTTACTGGCTAATTTCAAACTGCACAATGCCATGTGTACTCCTTTAAATACTTCTTCCAACACTACACCATTATCCTGTAACAGAACAAGGAAAAAAATTAAATATAATTCTGGACAGTATCTTGGATCCCATCTAAATCAAAGTTTAGTACTTGGGTTAAAATGCTAGTATTTGGCCGGCACCGTGGCTCACTTGGCTAATCCTCCGCCTGTGCCAGGTTCTAGTCCTGGTTGTTCCCCTTCCAGTCCAGCTCTCTGCTGTGGCCCCGGAGGGCAGAGGAGGATGGCTCAAATGCTTGGGTCCCTGCACCCACACGGGAGACCAGGAGGAAGTACCCAGTTCCTGGCTTCAGATAGGCACAGCGCCGGCTGTAGCAGCCATTTGGGGAGTGAACCAACAGAAGGAAGACCTTTCTCTGTCTATAACTCTCTGTCTCTCTAACTCTGCCTGGCAAAAAAAAAAAAAAAAAAGCTAATATTTTAGCAATAGCTAATATTAGCAATGGCTAACACTTCCCTTTTCAGTTAGAGTTATCATTTTCTATGGAGACATACATACAAAATGAGTTTAACTTCTTTTCTTTCTTCAAAAATTGTTACTTACAGCTTTTGAAAAATCCAGACATCCTACTCCACGCTCAAAAGTTCCAAGTCCAATAATCTGCAGTGTGGACAGACTAACTGAATCCCACACTCTGACGTGGGGTTGAAGGGGCTGCAAAGACACAAGACAGCAGGACTCACTGGTATTGAGGTAGATGCAAATAAATACCACTGCCACTCAGGACTACGCACCATCTTTACAAAGTAAGAGGGATTGGTCAGTATCTATTAGGAAATCACTACTAGACTTAGACATGATCCCAAAGATCTTCGGTAAGTATTTTTCTTTTAATAATATGAAAATAAGGAAATAACAACAGTGACAATAGTAGCAGCAAACAATTTGGGTATTTACTATGTTCTAATAACATTTCTTTAAATCTATAACTTGAATTTTTTTAACCTCCATCATTTATTTTTTACAATACTTCCTAATTAGAAACATGGCTGTAAACTGATATTTTCTAATAATAGTTTTATGGATTTACCCTCTCAGTTGCAACTACATTCTTTTTTCTTTGAGAGCAAGTTTTACTGTTAACTCTCCTAACACAGTTCTTTGAGGACAGAGGTCCTGCATGGTAAGTTAGTGCACAGTGACTCTTGTTAATTTAACAATTAACACTCTTATGTAAGACATCAGTGATCATCTGAGGCTCTTGACATGTGCTGCCTAGGCTATGGAGGCCTTCTGAACCCACAAACTCTGTCAGTAAATACAAAGCCAAAAGGAAAGTGGAAGTTCTCTCCTCCCTTTACAGGAAAGTACCTCCTTCTTTGATGACCATTTCCTTTCCACTGGGGTCTCACCCACAGAGGTCCTTCATGTAGGACATTTTTGCCTTGGTGTCTTGGCTTTCCATGCTTGAAATGCTCTCATGGCCTTTTCAGCCAGATCAGAATGCCTTAAGGGCTAATTCTGAGGTCAGAGTGCTACTTAAAGCAACTGTCATTCTATGAGTCTGCTGTGTGGATACTCTATGAGTCTGTTGATTCTCATGTTGGAGCATTCACTCCTTTTTAATTCTATTATTATTACCAGACATTTAATCCTATCTATATGATTGCTTTAACACTTCCTATCCACATCCATATACCATTTAAGTATATCATATATGTTCATTTAAACCTCACAATCCTCACAATCCTATTAACTTTAGGTAGTATTATAATTTAATAGATGAGAAGACTAGATATAGAGATTTAAATAATTTTCCCAAAGTAAACACTTATTAAAAGCCATATAATATAACCTCTCCACATCTATTTAAAGAAACTGAACTCATAATGTCATGAGTTTATTCATATGTATGTATCAACCATTATTTATATTCAATGTTGATTCTTAGGAATAAGGAATGTTACACAAAAGAGCCTTGAAAAAGTTCATAAAAAATGTGTACTATGAAAAAAGTATGCATGGATTTCAAAATTTTATGCACAAAATAAATTTGTCTTTTAATTCCATGGTCCGCGAACTTATTGAAGCTACTCAAAAGCGAAACACTTCAAGTGATAACTGTTCTAAACATATTTAAAATCACGAACTCTGTCAGTTAAGGGAAATTGCAATACCATTTGGCAAACACTGGTAAATAATTCTATGTAAAGAAAACTGTGACAAGCTTATCAGACTTCCCATCATTAAAAGTCAATAGTTTCTCTAAGGAGAACACTTTTATTTTAGAAAAAAAAATTTAAGCAGTATGATTATTTTTTGTCTTTTAAAATGTTTTAATGTTTATTACCTGTTTACACAAGAAATCCTTTAGTACATTTTAGAAGAAAAAAATAAGCTCATTGTGGTTAAAATGATAATCAACTCAATTTTAACAGCAGTATCACCAAGTATAAAACACACAGAACTGTGCCAACTCACCCTTCCATCTTTATCCACTCCAGCAATCTGTCCAGTTGCAATCCTAATTTTGTCAGGGTGTATGGCAAGGCTAAAAAGCAGTATTAACAACAACTTTAAATATTGGAAACATGTGAAACAGCAAAAATGTGCCCTAGTTCCAACATTTTTTTAAACAAATAATTTTTTTAAAAGATTTATTTATTTATTTGAAAGCCAGAGTTAGAGAGAGGAAGAGCAGAGGCAGAGAGAGAGAGAAAGTCATCCCTCTGAGGGTTCACTCCCTAGATGGCCGCAACGGCCACAGCTGGGCCGATCCAAAGCCAGGAGCTTCCTCTGGTTCTCCCACATGGGTGTGAGGCCCAAGGACTTGGGCCATCTTCTACTGCTTTCCCAGTTCATAGCAGAGAGCTGGATTGGAAGTGGAGCAGCTGAGACTTGAACTGGCGCCCATATGAGATGCTGGCACTGCAGGTAGCAGCTTTACCCACTACACTACAGCATCGGCCCCAACAAATAATCTTTAAACACAAAAATATTACAATAGTTCTTTGGCAAGTCAAACAAAAATTATTTGAAGATTTCTAAGTTTTTTTTTCTAAGCTATTTTTTTCCCATTTAAAGCTGAACAAACTGATAGCACATTAAATTTGAAGAAAATATTTATCCACAACTGTAGCATGGTAACAAACTGAACTGTCTTCATTTGTTCAAGTTTTCCTCTCATCCATGCACACAGGCATAGGTATTTATATTTAAAAAAAAAAAAACAGCAAAAATGGGATATTATATTGTACAATTTCTTTTTTTTATAATTTATTTGACAGAGTTAGACAGTGTGAGAGAGAGAGAAAGGTCTTCCATTGGTTTGCCCCCAAATGGCCGCTATGGCCAGAGCTATGCCAATCTGAAGCCAGGAGCCAGGTGTTTCCTCCTGGTCTCCCACACAGGTGCAGGCGCCCAAGCACTTGGGCCATACTCCATTGCCTTCCTGGGCCACAGCAGAGAGCTGGACTGGAAGAAAAACAGCCAGGACTAGAACCTGGCACCAATATGGGATGCCAGCGCTGCAGGTGGAGGATTAACCAAGTGAGCCATGGCACCGGCTCCCAACATTGTACAATTTCAATCTACTAAATTACAAGCATTTTTCATTATTTTATAAATTTATATATATATATATATATATATATATATACACACACACCACCACCACCACCACCACCACCACCACCACCACCACCACGTAACAATTCTTTTAGGCCATTTGTACTTTTCTACAAAAAAACCAGCAGTGAACATCTGATTATGTATTGCTCATTACTTCCCAGAAGAGCAGTATAAACATTCTAAAAGTTTTACAACTTCCTTATATTAACAGAAATCTTTAAAAAAGTAATTAGCTAGGGGCCGTGCTGTAGCACAGCAGGTTAACTTACAGCATGCAGTGCCAGCATCCTATATGGGTGCCAGTTCGAGTCCCAGTTGCTCCACTTCACATCCAGATCCCTACTAATGCATTTGGGAAAGCAGTGAAAGATGGCCCAAGTTCCTGGGCCCCTGCACCCAAGCAGGAGACCCAGAAGAACCTGGTTCCTAGCTTTGATCTGGCACAGCCTTGGCTATTGTGGCCATTTGGGGAGTGACCCAGCAGATGGAGGATCCCTCTCTCTCTGTAATTCTTTCAAATAAATAACTTAAAAAAAAACTTACCTAATTTGATGAGTATAAATGGTATCTTATTTTAATTTCTTTGATAACTAAGGAAGCTGGTATTTATTAATGTTTCTTTAATTTCATTTTTTATTTAAATAGTTTATGTCCTGTATTGAGATCAACTACAACACAAAGGTAACTAGAAATCTAACACTTAACATTTTGCTGTATTTAATTCAGTTATCTTTTTTATAATTAAAGAGACAGAGGTGCCATCTAGTGGTTCACTCCTCAAACACCCACAATGGCTCAGGCTGTTTGGGTCAAAGCTCCTATCTGGGTGGCAGGGACCCAACTACTTAAGCTATCACCTGCTGTCTCTTAGGGTATGAATATTCAGGAAGATAGAACTGTGTCTCAAATGCAGGCACTCTGATATGGAATGTAAGTGTCACAACTGAATTACTAAGATGACTAAGCCAAAAGCACACCCCCAGATCTTTCTTTTAAAAAGTTAAAATTTCTTGATAAGGTAATACATTTGCATGGTTCAAATATCCAAACAGCTATAAAAGAGGGGCTGCTGTTGTGGTGCAGTAGGTTATACCATCACTTGGGACACCTGCACCCCGTATCAGAGTGCCAGATTTCAAGTTCCAGCTGATCTGCTTCCAATCCAGCTTCCCATTAATGGGCCTAGGGAGGCATCAGATGATGGACCAAGTGCTTGTACCCCTGCCACCCATGTGGGAGACCCAGATGCAGTTCTTGGCCCCTGGCTTTGGCCTGGCCCTGCCCTGGCTGTTACAGCTGTTGGGGTGTGAACCAATGGATGGAAAAATCTTTCTTTCTCTCAGTCGCTCTGCCTTTCAAATAAATACATAAATAAATTTTAAAAAGAAAAAGGTATAAAAGAAAATTAAGGCCGGCGCCGCGGCTCACTAGGCTAATCCTCCGCCTAGCGGCGCCGGCACACCGGGTTCTAGTCCCGGTTGGGGCGCCGGATTCTGTCCCGGTTGCCCCTCTTCCAGGCCAGCTCTCTGCTGTGGCCAGGGAGTGCAGTGGAGGATGGCCCAGGTGCTTGGGCCCTGCACCCCATGGGAGACCAGGAAAAGCACCTGGCTCCTGGCTCCTGCCATCGGATCAGCGCGGTGCGCCGGCCGCAGCGTGCCGGCCGCGGCGGCCATTGGAGGGTGAACCAACGGCAAAAGGAAGACCTTTCTCTCTGTCTCTCTCTCTCACTGTCCACTCTGCCTGTCCAAAAAAAAAAAAAAAATTAAGAAAGGCTTCTTTCTCACCTGCCCTATCTGCTAAGATCTCCTTTACCTCACCCCATCTCTACTCCCTGAAATTCCCTATAAGGTAACCATTATAATTAGTTTCTTTGTATTAATAATTCTAGGACATTTTTATATATGTGAAAGCTAAGAGAAACACTTATTTTTTATTTCTTTTTTATACAAATGGTAGAGCATTGCACATTATCCTAATCTTTAACATCTGTACTTAAGTTATGTATCATTCAATATTAATACATAAAGTGCTTCCTTCTTCTCTTTACATGTGCATGGAGATGTACGGGTATAACACAACATCACTAGTTAGCAACTGAATAATAGGCTATTTCTAATCTTTAATATCACAATCAATGCTGTAATAAATAATTTTGCATACATATTATTCTACAATGCTTCCATTATTTCTAAAAGTCTAATAATACGTATATATTCTAAGTCATATATTAATTTTTCCTAGATAAAGGTAAAAACATAAGTTTTTAAATATTGGTAAATGATAGGTTTAAATAATAAATTATTAAGCGTAACTGAACAGCAATATTTATTTTTTTCTTCAAATTTTTACTTAATTATTTAAGAGGAAGGAAGTGACGAGAGTGAGAGTGAGGGGCCCCATATACTGGTTCATTCCACCAAAAGCCCACAACAGCCAGGGCGAAGTCAAAGCCAGGAACCAGGAACTCAATCTAGGTCTCCCATATGAGTAGCAGAAATGCAATTATTTGAGCCATCATACTGAGGTACCAATTCGAGTTCTGGCTGTTCCAATTCTGATGCAGCTCCCTAGGAAAGCAGAAGACAGCCCAATTGCTTGGGCTTCTGCCTCCCATGCAGGAGAACTAGATGGAGTTCCAGGCTCATGGGTTGGCCTGGCCCAACCCCGGATACTGCAGCCATTTGGGGAGTGAACAAATGGATGAAAAGACCTTCTGTCTCTGTTTCTCCCCCTAACTCTACCTTTTAAATACATAGAAGGAAGAAGAAAAGAGAAAGAAAAAAGAAGAGGAAGAAAATGGAGGAGGAGGAGGAAGAAGAAGAAAGACTATCAGGGATCTGTGAAAGTAGAAGAGATTCCAATAAATATTTAGGGGGGACTGTATTTATTGCTGTAGATATCACAAAAACTGTTTTGGAGGATTCCAAGTCTTTTTTTTTTTCCTTTTTAAAGTACCTTCTGCAGAATGTCTGTAATATCTTTATATTCTGAGCTTCGCATAAGAAATTATTTTCAATATTACCAAAATTTTAAAATTTTGAAAGAAAACGATCAAACATTAAATGATACCAACCATTTCACACAGTCTGTATGACCCAGGTAATGGCGTTGAGTTCTCTCTTCATAATTAAATAGTACTACTACTGATGCAATGAAATAAACTATTTCCCCAGTAGGAAGAAGGTAAACATTAGCTCGACAGTCCTTTCCTCGATAACCATATCTTAAAAGATGCAGAGTTAAGGTTCTTAATAAGTATAATTCTCAGGGAGTTAAATTAACATGCTTTCATGGACACACATGGGAATCATAACTAAGACCAGAACTAGAAAACCCATATTTTGTCATTATCTTGTGCAATCCTGAGACTTCCAATGTGTTTGAATCTTTGTTTTCTCACTCACTAGACAAATATACTGGGCTCCCAATAGGCATGAGGCACAGTACTGACATGCAGCTCTGAACAAGGCAAATGTGAGGCCTCTATCTCTGGAGTTTATGTGCTGCTGTGGAAGATAGAAATAACCACCAAATCTATCATTAGATTATGGAAAGAAAAATAACATGAAATGACGAAAAAGCATAAATGGAGGGCTTAATTTAGATGGTTAGAGAGAGAAGAAGGGGAGCAAAAGAAGACCTATCTGAGAAAGTGGTATTTATGCCAGACCTAAATGATTTGTAAGGATAGGCAAGAAGCTTGAAACATAGAATGTCAGTTAAAAAGATGTTGTACTGAATTACAGGACTACTAAGTTTTCCTAAGCTGTTATCTATATAACAGAGGGAATAACTTAAGGAGGAGGGCAAGGGGTTATAGGAGAATGGACGCAGACAGCAGAGTTGAAGTTCTTAATTACTCTCTGCTTTACAGAGTTTCTTAAAGGTTCAAAGAGAAGCCAAGAATTTCTAGGTGAACTTATTAGCAAAACTCTATTTTAAACAGTCATGTGAGGCTGGGGTTGTTAACTCTTTTTAATAACTAAAGGAAGTTAAGGTTAACAGAAGAGAATGAGCAGAACCAAACTCAAAACAGCAGTCTTCCATTCCGCTCCAGTGCTTTCCTACCACACCACCTGCACCAGCTGCGATGTTCATGGGATACTCTTTTGCCCTTTCAGAGTGTATTAATTTTGACTGCTTTAGATTGCTAATACATAAAAATGTGCAAAAGGATCAGAGATGATGTATCCTTTTTAATTTCTCAAGTGGTTATATTTACACAATATAAAGACAATTTTGATTGATTAGGGAAACTAGTTATTCTTAAATCAGAGACAAAGCAAACAAATCTGCTGTCCTGGTAGAGAAGGATACGCCCACTCCAGTTTGAGCTTCTCAGGAGGCAGTTCTGTTCTGATGTCATCATAGTTGTCAATATCAGAAGGAATGAACATTGTAATTGGCCGACCCCGCATAAACATTTTAATATATTCTCCTTCTGTTGAAACACAAGAAAAATATTAAGTCACATGTATTCCTGTATTATCACAATAGGTGGATAATGTGATACAAAAACAGCTACTTAGTTTTATTCTCACAATATATATTTCTGTTAAACATTACACAGCATACTGAAAACAAAGTGATATTAACAAAGGCCTAGTCAAACACACTGTAAGGGAAAAAAGCACTAGCCATTTCCTTAAATGAGAAAAGCCACTTATAATTAATAATAATTTATCTAATTTGACATATTTCTACAAGAAGGCCAGAAAGCTGAGGTAGAAAATACTAAAGAGAGTAATTTGGTGATGGACTTTTTTTAATTCTTGAAAAGAAGAAAGAAATTATTTGGACAGACAACAACCATGTCCACCACACTTGATCAACCTACTAGTATTTTACTAACACATAAAAAAACATGATCTTACATACTAAAAGGATTTTACACAAAAAAAGAAACAACAGAGGGAAAAGGCAACCTACAGAGTAGGAGAAAATGTTTGAGAAATTACATCACACCTGTAAGGATGGCTAGTATCAAAAAATAAGCATTGATGAGTACATAGAGAAGTTGGAGCCCTTCTACTCTGCTGGTAGGAATGCAAAATGGTGCAAATACTACAGAAACCAGAATGTAGGTTTTTTTCAGAAAAAATTAAAAAGAAAACTACAGCATGAACCAGCAACTCCACTAGTAGGTATTTCCGAAAAATAATTGAAATCAGGGTCTTGAAGAGACATTAGCACTCCCATGTTCACAGCAGCATTACCCGTAACAGCCAAGATATGGGAACAACCTAAAGATCCACTGACAGATGAATGGATAAAGATACATATATACATTGGAATGAAACTGTTTTCAAAAAGGAATTCTACAATATATAACTACACAGATAAACTGTCAGTCATATAAAGATAAAAAATATTGCATGGTCTATGTGAAGTACCTAAAATGGCCAAATTCACAGAATCAAAGTGTAATGGTGGTGAGGGACTAACAGGAGAGAGAAATGAGGAGTTCTCAATGACTAACATAATAAAGTTTGGGCAAGACAAAAGGTCATGAGGTCTGCTATGCAACATTGCATCTTTGGTCTACAACAATTTATTGGACCCATGAAAAATTTAACACGGCAGATCTCAGACTTAATGTTCTTATCAAAATAAAAGACAAATCTAGACTCAAACCAGTATTTATAATCCTTTACAAAAGGAAATAATATTTCATGTCATTAAACAAAATAGGATATGTTCTTATTCCTTCAAAAGTAGGAGACACTGGAAGATACTGTGGCACAGAGGATTAAGCTGCTGCCTGTGAGGCTGGCATTCCATCTGAATGATGGTTCAAGTCCCAGCTGCTTGGCTTCTGATCCAGCTCCCTGCTAATGTGCCTGGAAAAGCAGTGGAAGATAGCCCAAGTGCTTGGGCCCCTGCCATCCATGTAGGAGACCTGGATGGAGTTCCTGGCTCCTGGCTTTGACCTGGACCAATCCCGGCCCTTGCGGCCATTTGGGGAATGAATTAGTGGATGGAGATTTCTCATTTGCTCCCTCTGCCTTTCAAAACAAATTTAAAACTATTAAAAAAAAAAAAAAGTAAAAAAAGTCAGAAAACAAACAGAGGCAACCCTGCCCTTAGTATTCAGAGTACCTACATATAGGTAGGTTTAATAAACATTGACGGTGACTGTGAAATGGTTACAAAATACCCTAAAAGGAAAAAAAAGGGACTGAGCATAAAAGCATAGGAAATAGCTAGCACTTGCTAACCTAGTAAACAGCATTAGAACCATACTAAAAATTCAATCACCAACCAGAAGCTATTACCATCTTACTATCTCTAATGACTTAGGCTACCTACAGAGATAACTACATGGTAATGAAGTAATATACATTAACACAAATCATGAAAAAAAAAAAGGAAATATAAATTACTTGCTGAATGTCAGCAAGTATTTCTTTGGAGTCAAATTAAAAACTTGTGCTTGGAGGCTGGCACACCACCTGCACCAGCACTATGTGGCAGAGTGGACAAAGCTATCTCTTGCAATGCAGTCAGCTCATATGGGTATCGGTTCATGTCCCAGCTGCTCACTTTCAATTCAGCTCCCTGCTAATGGCCAGGGAAAAACAGTAGAGGATGGCGCTAGTACTTGGGTCACTGATATCCATGCAAGATACCTGGAAGAAGCTCCTGGTTCCTGGCTTTGGCTTTGCCCAGCCCTGGTTGTTATGGCCATTTGGGGAGGGAACCAGTGGATGGAAGAGTTTTCTCCTTCTCTCTCCCTCTCTCTATCTGCTTTCGAATGAATAGATCTTTAAATTTTTTTTTTTTAATTGTACTTGCTATGGGAAGTTCAAGCTCTTTTTATTATTCCTGACAGTGTGCTCACCCTCAGGGTTTGATCTAAGAACAGACTAAACCTCCCACACCATGGCTAACACCACATGATATCTGTCTGTATCACTTCTGAATCCAAGAGTGGGCTCTGCTTCCTGATGATTTTTAGCACAGCTGGACTTTGCTGATAACTTAATGACTACCAGCTGCAGATATCCTTCCTGCAATCATCCTTGTCCCTTTCCATATAGTTCATTCTTATAGGTGTTGATTTATTATATAATTTTTCCCTCTAGCATTTTATCATAAGTATTTTAAGGAAGATATCCTGTCCTTTTTAATTTCTCACACATTCTTTTATCAGAGGCACCATAAATGCTTTCTCAATGAAAAATAAAACATTTAATAGATGCTTCTATTCCCACTCAGAACGGAAAATATATATAACAAAGGAAAACAATTAGCTGTAATATGCAACAAAACAAATGCAATGACAGCTCAGAATACCGTGTTAATTCACTTTTCAACCATCAAGCACACAATCAAATGGGAAAGTAAAGAGCTATCTAGTGCTTACTAACTTTCCCCATACAAAATGAAAATGGCAATGTGCACAAGGATGAAGATGCTTTCTCTGCCTGTCAAGCTGGCAGTATCCACACTAGAGTTAGAGACTAAAAAAGTAATTCTTCCAACAATTCCTGGCACTGAGAGGCAGCACATTTTAGCAGAAAACAAAAGACTGCAGTTTACTTTCTTTAAAAAAAAAATTCTGTAGGATACCATTGATACAACTGCTAGTTCATTTCTTTGTATAGACATAGTGTTAGAACTGAAAGAAATCTTAAGAGTTCACTTAATCTAACTTCCTACAATCACAGAAAGGGAAATCAAGTAAAACGAATTTTTAGACTGTGTTCTAAAATTTTATTATTTAAAATTTTGGAAATATTCACTCTAAATCTATATAAGTATAAAATACATACCAGAATTTTGACAAGTTAATATGAAAGATGTAAAATACCTCAATAAGTTTTTATATGGATCACACATCAAAATAATACCTTGACTATATCACTGTAAATAATTATTAAACTTAATTTCACTTTTTTAATTTCTAAAAATGTACTACATGACTTTATATTACATATGTGTTATACATTGTATTTCTGCTGGACAGTGCTGTTCAGGCAGTAGTGAGGTCCCCAGGCTGGTTTGCAGAACACAAGTGACCTGATGGTATAGCTTACTTAAAATCCGAATAATACTGGTTGCTGTCTGGATGCCAATATCTGGAAATCAGGGAATGTAGTGTAGGACAAGGATGTTTCAGCTTTATTGTCTTTGGGAAGAATCAATGTTTACACAACATTTGAAACACCTGATATTGAATTATCTGTGTTGTGCCCAGTTTCCTCAGGTTTTGCTTTCCTGCCTTAGTATTTCCTTTACACTGTGCAAGCCCTCAAACTGCAAAATGCTCATCCTATTTCCTAATCAACAACCTCACTGTTTTGAAAATGCTATCTCAGGTATTCTGAGAAGGGCAGTAAGCCTGAAATGATCCATATTTTTATGTGTAAATACTGGTTACTAAAGGTGTTTAATTATTTACAAGGTGCTTATCAAAATTTATTAATCTTTCACAAATCGTAAAAAGTGATCTCCACTCCAGTATCAGTTCCGTTCCTGTTTTCACAGTTAGCTCCGTCTCTGGATTCAACATTTTGGCAAGAGCAGAGTATTGGAGATCTGGCTTTCGACTGCAGTCATTTGTGTTAGGGGTACTACTTGTACAGAGCCTTCTGAATAGTTAGAATGCTTATGACTTGGCTGGTGCCACGGCTCACTAGGGTAATCCCCCGCCTGCGGTGCCGGCACCCCAGGTTCTAGTCCCGGTTGGGATGCCAGATTCTGTCCCACTTCCTCCTCTTCCAGTCCAGCTCTCTGCTGTGGCCCAGGAAGGCAGTGGAGGATGGCCCAAGTGCTCGGGCCCTGCACCCGCATGGGAGACCAGGAGGAAGCACCTGGCTCCTGGTTTCGGATCAGCATAGCGTGCCGGCCGTAGCAGCCATTGGAGGGGTGAACCAATGGAAGGAAGACCTTTCTCTCTGTCTCTCTCTCTAACTCTGCCTGTCAAAAAACAAAAACAAAAACAAAAACAAACAAAAAAAACGAATGCTTATGACTCAAAGTATCTTTCTCCCCAAAAGTTGCCACTTTAGTTCATTCTTATTGGTATTTTATAATCTTCAGAATGAAACAGCCTCCCTCAAACTGAATTTTGAGATTTTTATTTAACTAAAATGTTGCAGAGTATGATGCTACTAAATTCCTGCAAATACATAATTACAAAGAATTTGTAGTTTCAGCCTTTTCTCTGATACATTCAGTTTTATTCTACAACCTCAGAATTAAAGAACAGAAGATAATCAAGAACCTAGAAATACTACAATTTTATAGTAGAAAGTAACAAAGACCATTTTTGAAAGGATAAATTCTTCTCAAATAGCTCTTTCATTTAGGGCTGGCACTGTAGTGCAGCAGGGAAAGCCATTGCCTTCAGCACTGGCATCCCATATGGGCACCGGTTCAAATCCTGGCTGCTCCACTTTTTTTTAAAACTTTTATTTAATAAATATAAATTTCAAA